GGGAACAGTGGCGCTTGCTCTGCTCTCTACTGGATTTTAGTCACTTCCCTCACTTCCCATAAGCAAACTGGGCCCTTCTGGTGCTGATTCCTAGGTGGGCTTGTGTTCATTCTAGGACCCTGTGGGTCTCTCCAACAAACTCTCCTGTGAGGCTGGGCGTTTCTCCCTCTGCCACCTGAACCTGCACAGGTGTTTCCAGTCAGAGGTTTGAGGCTTTATTTTCCCCCTGGAATCCTGGGTTGTGTGGTCTGCCTCCCTCCCCAGTTGTTCCTCCCAGTTTATCTGCATGTAAACGTGGGACCGCCCAGTCAGTCAGCTGCCACCTCACCTGGTCCAACAGCCACAGACAGGCCCATCCTGGTCCTCCAGGTGCCACCCTGCCCCAAGTCCTCTCCGCCCAGCTGCCCGTCTCCGCCCCTCCTGCCAGTCTGGATGAATGTTTCTTCTTTACCTCCTTTGTTGTCGGACTTCCATACAGTTTGATTTTCTGGCAGTTCTGGTTGTTTTTTGCTTTTAAATTCGTTGTTGTTCTCCTTTTGGTTGTGTGAGGAGGCACAGTGTGTCTACCTACGCCTCCATCTTGGCCGGAAGTTCTAAAAAACATTTTAATAATATCAGTATGAATTCATGGATTCTAATGTGAAGTATCTCTTGCTATTGAAATTATTCATTCTTATGCTCAAATTGCTCCATCTTTGGCCAGTAGGAACCAGTTTGGCTGCTACATCATTCTGATGTAACCCTAGTGTGATAAAATGTCCCAGACTCACAGACAGGTCTTTGGACTCAGTGAGGCAATTCAGGGAAGCTGTCTTGAATTTTAGGGTGTATGTGGCTTAGAAGAAATGTCCTCTATTTAAAAAAATTGCCGTCTTACAAAATATGAAAACTATTTGCAAGAATCCTTACAATGACACATTAAAAAAATTTTTTTTTTGTAAACAGAGGATATTTAAAGAAAGAGGTGGGGTCAGGAGGGAAAGCAAAGAAAATCAAAGGCACTGGTTCGAAGTGCTGCCTTCCAGTTCGTCCGTGTGTTCCTAGTAAACTGATTCCAGGGCGTCCCTCTGAGCAGATGCTGGAAGTGTGAGATGCCACTAAGTACATCCCTTTTGTTGTCAAATTGTAGTCCTTCCTGCACACGGACACCTTACTCACACCCAGTGCCCTGCTCTGACAGAGCGCCCTCCAAGCCTCCTCTTCCTCTCGGCCCCGCCGCGACACCCCACAGAGGCTTTTCCGTGCCAACGGGAGCACTTGGACAGAGGCTCACTCTTTTCACGGCAGTTGGTAAAGTAGTATTTTTGCTGCCGTTGCTCACATGAAGCCAGATATTGTTGACCTTTGTCTGAGTCCCGATTTTGAGAAGATAAACTGAATACTGGTTACGCGTTGTTCCAGGGCACTCCCCACCTATTTCCGTGGCCTACTGGGTTCATCTTAACTTTGTATCCGTAATATGTCACTTTTCTATGTTTGCGGCAAAATACATTGGATGTGGAGGTGGACCTAGATTTGAGTCCCTGCACAACTCACTAGCTTATGAACTTTCTCAAGTTGTTGCTTAATTTTTCTAAGTTTCAGAAATGGGCTTGTAGTGAGAATTAAACGAGAATAATACATATGGGTCATTTCACATACTGACAGAGTTTGAGTTGGGGTTCATATTCAGGATATGTCGTTTAATGTGAGACCTTAGGAAAATTAGTATTTTATTTTCTTTCTTTATATATATTTATTTATTTTCACCTGGGGATATTTTTTCATTGCTTTGAGAGAGAGAGAAAGAGAGAGAGAGAAACATCGGTTGCCTTCTCATATGCGCCCTGACCAGGGATTGAATCTGCATCCTGGATATGTGCCTTCACTGGGCATTGAAAGTACAATCTTTCATTCTATGAGATGATGCTCCAACCAAGTCATACCAGCCAGGGCGATTTTCTTTATTTTTAACATATGTAACATATCTATGGCAAGGATATTTTAAGAACTTCGTGGGATATATAATCAAATACTTAACCCAGCACTTGGCATGTGATAGTACGATAATTTTAGTTTTTGTTATACACTCAAAAAGGTCATTTAGCCCTGGCTGGTGTGGCTCAGTCAGTTGAGCACAGGCCTGCAAACCAAAAGGTCACCGGAGCAGTTCCCAGCCAGGGCACATGCCTGGGTTGCAGGTTGGGCCCCCAGCTGGGGCCTTATGAGAGGCAACTGATGGATGTTTCTCTCCCACATGGATGCTTCTCTCCCTCTCTCTCTCCCTCTCCCTTCCTCTCTCTCTAAAAATAAAACATTTTTTAGGTAGGGTTTAATTTTCCTATTATTAACATCATCTGGTGTTTATACTATAGTTTGTTAAAAGGTCTTTTAACAAAGTATCTTAATAAAATAAAAACAGATGCTCAATTTTATTTATTTATTTATTTTATTTAATTTTATTATTATTACTATTATTTTTAACCCCTTGTCACACCACCGATTGAAGTGAAACAACACGACATGCTGCCACTTCACCCAAAAGCGGTGTTTTTACTTTGCCCTTTCTTGACGGCTCAGTGGGTCATTAGCAAAAGGCCCAACGAGTGCTTTTCAAAGGGGCACAGATGCTCACATTTTAAGTTTGTATATTTTCCCGTTTATTTGGGCATTTTGGTACTGGTAGTAGCAGAACGCCAGGCAGTATCATGAGATACTCCACTAACCCTCAAGTAATCCGGGGGTTCCCGGGAGTGGGGATGGAGTGGGGTGAGAAGAGGACCCCCCAGTCGAGGCAGGTATGCTCCCTTGGAAAGCTTGGCTGTAAGGGTACTTACTTCCAACACTTGAATGATTTTATCTTCCTTCTTGGGAACTGCATGTACTGTTTTTAGAACAAAAGATACGTGGCCCATTTCCCTTTTTGTAGTCATCATTTTGATGTCAGTTTTAATAATTTGAAGGTAGGGTTAATGAATCAGTGTCTTCAAATGCTCCATTGGATACAGTGTCAAACACAGTGAACTGAACCATAATTTAGGAATTTCTTCATTACTTTAAGATTCTGTACTTCCTAAACAACTTCTGAAATCCTGTTGTAAGTTCAGGTGCCTCTCAAAAAAAGAAAAAAATCAAATTCAGTGAATTAAAAAGGGAAGGAAGAACACACTAGATAAGTAGGTAATCAACCGTTAGGTCATGGCTTGGGTAGGGTTTAATTTAATTTTCCTATTATTAACATCATCAGGTGTTTATACTATAGTACCCAAATCTTTCTCTTCAGCTGTGGTAAGCCAGCCTCCCACACATCTGGTGATGATCCTCACTTCCTGGCATCGGTACCAGGATATAAAAACCTGGATAGTCCTCTCCTACATCGTGTAACCAGCAGGATACTGCAGAAAGAAGGATGTGTGATTTCTGAGGGTAGGCCATACAAGATATTGGGGGTTTGCTTGGCTCATGTGGTCTGGGGAAAGCTGGCTGTTGTGTTACAAGCACACAAATCGTCCTACTGAGAGATCCCCATGGTTACGAGCTGAGCGCTTCTGCCCACAGTCAGCGCCAACTTGCCATCTTGGAAGCAGACCTTTGCCCCCATTAAGCCCTCGGCTGACTGGAGCCCAGCCAACATCTTGACTGTGGACAGAGCCGTCCAGCTAGGCCGCTCCCGAATCCCTAGCCCACCTCAGTAGGTGGGATGAGAAATGATTGTTGCTGTTTCCAGACAAAGTGTTGGGGTAATTTGTTCCCCAACATAACGAATACACTGATTACAATGATTGTTAGGTTACACCCTGTACTCATGAACCTAAGAAATGGCCATCTCTTGAAAGTGCTCTTTAGAAATAATGTTAAGACTTAACTATTCTGACAAACATTAGCAAATACCATAATTTTCAACTAATTTGAAAAGTCGTTCCATCCCACAGGCCTGGAAACACACTAACTCTGGGCTAATTCCAGCCACTGTGAACTCCCGGGCTGCTGCGGGCTGCTGGGGGGACACTTAACGGTGCCATTCGTCACTACAGTCACTTGGCAACCACCGCTGCACCCCCAGCACTCCCGCAGAGCTCTTCTGTATTCTTAGCTCCCATGCCATTCTTCGTTCGGGCTATTTCAGGTTTGCACTCTCCACTCTCCTGAGATTTGTGTATCACCAGGCTTGCTCTCCTTTCCTCTTCACGGGGAAACAGCTGATCTGCATCCATCCTGTTCTGTTCCAATGGAGGAGGTATTCCTCTCTCTCAAGTTTTTCCCTCTCTGGATCCCTTTCCCCACTTCTCAGACATTATCCTCTCTGTGTCTCAAACCCCTCCTCATTAGCTTTTGAATACAATTAACTTACTGAAATCTAAGATTTGCTTACATATGCTATTACAAAAGTATTGATGAACGGTGTGATATCATTTGAAATGAGTCACTGATTGCAAACCCTATTATAAAGTCTTGGCTTCCAACTGGTGTTCTGACATTAGCTCCGTCAGAAACACCCCATCACGTGACACCGAGCCGTGTTCTCCGTGCGGCAGTTTCCCAGCAAGTCGAACGGGAAACACGTCTCCGGGAGAAAACCGCCCGAATGAACACACAAATGCCAAGGACTCGGCACCCACACTGGGAATGCAGAGGTCTCCTAGTACAGTGGAGGTGTAAGCTGTGGTTATGCTAGATAGCATTCTTTTTTTTTTAATTGTAGTTACTTAAATTTTTTTTTTCAATTACATTTTACATTCGACAGTATTTTGTATGAGTTTCAGGCAGGTAGTACTTCCCGCAACTACTATACATCGCTTTACCTGTGTTTCAGGGCACGACTCTCCTCAAATACACATCTTGGGAGGAATTATTGAAGGAGATCAAGTCAGTTTCCTTTCGTTATTACTAGAGAGAATACCTATTATTGATGAGACAGTACTGAGTACATGGGGTCAACTGAAGTCCATCAGCAGATAACATTCAAATGATAAAAGTGGGAAAGGAACTTGGAATAAAACCATGCATATATGCCCCAAGTACTGATTTATTAAAATTTATTAAAATATCTTCCTTAGATTAAAGGAATTTCATACAAAATAAAGTTATCTATTCTCTCAGAAGTCACACAAAACATAGTGACTTAAAGCAACAACACACTTTTAATCTCTGTTTCTGGGGGCCAGGCATTCGGGGAGAGCTCCAGCCGGGCCTCTCTGGCTCTGGCCTCGCAGGCAGCAGCCTGCCAGGGGCTCTGAAGCTGGAACAGCGTGAGGCTGGGATCCGCTGGTGACGGCGGGCATCGCCTTTCATGTCGTCGCGTCGGGGCGCTCTGTGCAAGCTGGTGTGACCTTCCTCTGAGCACGGCAGCCTCTGCACAGTCCAACTGCTTTGGGACTCAGGGATCCCGTATGAATCTTCAAGCAAAAGGGTAAAGCCTACGTAGTGTGGCCTTGGAAGTCATACAGGATCATGTCACAAACTGCTACATTCTGTTGGTCACGTGGGAGTCACAGGCCCCTCCAGATCCAAGGGGCGGGGGAATTCGATCCCACCTGTTGATGGGGCAGTGGCAAACTTACTTGTAGAACAGCCTGTGGGATGGGGCACACTACTGCTGCAATCTTTGGAAAATACACTTTGCCACAGTGATCAAAACGAAAGTAAATACTGGTGTGTTGATGTGAAAGGGAGGAAGAGAGAAAAAGGAGAGAGGTCCTTGTGACTCACTACATTAAAATAACATAGGCAAACACATCGAGGGGGACAAAAAACACCAGGAGTGCAAGTGCGTGGCTGTGCGTAACAGTCCCAACTGTTACCGGCCTCTTGTATGAACAGCCCCAGGTCCTAGGGTGCTGGTGCAGAGAACTCATTTCAGCCAAAAGAAAAGGATGATGTCAACTGTTACCCATCTCCCCTGCTCCCCACCAAAAAAAACACTCGAAAATAAAATTAGTTTCAAGACAAGCTTGAAGGCAATTTTCTCCCCCAAAATAAGTGCATGTGACACCTGGTGGTGGACAGTCAAACGTGCATTCTCTCCTGTTGACTGTACTTACTGAGAAGTCCTTAAGCGAGGATTCCAACATCTGTAAGCGCACCTCTCCAAGGAGCCGACACACACAGGGAGGGAGAGGACAAGGAAAAGAGGAAGGAGTGGTTGGTTAACTGTAGGGCATCCGTATTGGAGTGTCTGGATGAGTCAAATTGGCCTCCTTTTCATTCATCCTAAATCCCCTTACTTCTCTGTCCTATTGGCCTTTTGTGCACCTTCGGATTGGGCAGAGAGGAGGAACAGGGAGACAGTAAGTTTTAAGGAAGGAAACGTTTGTTATTGCACTGTTGGGGGCGAGGGAGGTAGTTAGCGAAATGATGGCTGTAGTGATCAGCTCTAGAGCCATGTCACATCCTCCTGGACCTGCTGGAGAATTTATTGCAGCAAAAGCATGCTGTCTGTCTGTCTATCTATCTATCTACGTTTAATCCTCACCTAAGGACACACCCACTGATTGTGGAGAGAGAGGGAAAGAAACATCAATGTGAGAGAGAAATATCAACTGGCTGCCTCTTGTACACACCCCGACTGGGGACCAAACCCACAACCCAGGCACGTGCCCTGACTGAGAATTGAACCTGCCACTTTGCAGCTTATGGGAAGATGCTCCAACCAACCTACTTAGAATATAAGAATCATCCACGGGGGCAGATTGATCATGCAACTTTCTGGTCCAACAATTTGGGATGGGCACAAGGGGACTATGGTTCCTCTACTAGAATCATATAGTCTAACTAGTAACAACTACCACTTTGAAGTACTTATTGTGTATCAGTAACTGCACTGATCACATTACATCTCATATAATCCATATAATTCTATAATTTCATCTCCATTTTATAGATGAAGGAACTGAACTTTGAGAAAAGCTACGGACCTGAATGACCATATACTGTTATAAATGTTGGAACCAGAATTCACCACATGGCCAAGAAGCCCGGGTTCTTCTTCTTTTTAAGATTTTAAAAAAATTGTTTAGAGAGAGGGGAAGGGAAGGAGAAAGAGTGGGAGAGAAGCATCAATGTGTGGTTACCTCTCATGGGCCTCCATCTGGTACACCTGGCCTACAACCCAGGCATGTGCCCTGACTGGGAATCGAGATTTTTTCCCCACTGGTCAAAGCAGTTTTTTTTAAAAATATTTTATTTATTTTTCGAGAGAGGGGAAGAGAAGGAGAAAGAGTGGGAGAGAAACATCAATGTGTGGTTGCCTCTCGTGAGTCCCCTGCTGGGAACTGGCCTGCAACCCAGGCATGTGCCCTGACTGGGAATCGAACCTCGATACCCTGGTTCGCAGGCCCGCGCTCAATCCACTGAGCTACGCCAGCCAGGGCTCAAAGCAGTTTTTGAACTCATTGATTTTAATACCTTTTGGTGCTTCTGCTGTTTTTGTTTGTTCGTTCGTTTGTTTCACCTCTTCCATATTAGCAAAATGTTTCTCTTCCAGGACTTTCTTCATCTGGGGAAACAAACAAACAAAAGTTGCCAGGGGCAAGATCAAGTGAATGGGGGGAATTGGGCACAGGGGTCGTGTCTTTTTTTGGTCAAAAACTGCTGCACACTCAGCATGGTATGGCCAGGTGTGCCTATAAATCACCCATCATGAAATGGGCCAATGTACTGAAAAATTCACCGAAGCCAAAGGCAGCCTCTCACAACACCACCAACTGGTACACTGACACAGATGGGTTACAAGGAGCATGACGCCTACAAGATAATTCCAGTTTTTCCAGGGGTCCATCCCCTCGGAAGCTGCAAAATTGCCATTCTCTAAAGCTTTTTCTTAATCTGTTGAGATTTTGCTTCCTGGCAATTGATGTCAATTTAGCTCAGTCTCACAAAAATTCTCTATTGGTTTGGATGTTTCTTACGTCCACAAAACCAATGAAAGCCTCCTGCCCTGAGCAGACATCTAGGGTTAAGACGACCAGATGTAGCAAATAAAATTAGGGGGCATTCAGTTACACTTGAATTTCATTGTCTCTTACAGTAAAAACCTATTTATTATTCCTGTGAAGTTCAAACTTAACAGGGCATCCTGTACTCTATCCGGCAGCCCCAGGTAGGGTAGCAGCGGCAGAACAGGAGCTTGGAGGGTTTGCAGTGGGGCACTCACTGCAAGGAGGAGGCCTCCTGCCCTCCTGGCCCAATCATACAGCACCCAGCAGGTGCAGCGTGTGCTGCCAGCAGCCAGGCTAGCCCCTGCGGAAAGAGGGCCACGGGTGTTGGCTGGACCCGCGCCCAGAAGTTGGGGGTCAGGAACAGGAAAGTTCCAGATGACCTGAAATGTTTGGTGCTCGGCTCGCGAAGATCCCTGAGACCATCGCGTAGGCTACAAGCCGGAAGCAGGTCGCCCGACACCAAGATGGCGTCCGCTTCCAGCTTCCAAGATGGCGGCGCGGGCCGCGCCCGCGCACTGTCCTCCCACGGCCCTCCTCCTTCTGGGACCACGTCTACCACTGCTGCGCGACGCTTTCCCTTCGCGCTGGGCGGTGGTCTCCGCCGCCGCTTGGCACCATGGGGCTCCTCTGTTGGTGGCTAGTATTGCTGTGGCTGCTGGCGTATCCCGCCCGCAGCCAGGAGGGTGAGTGCAGGCTGGGGCTGCGGTTCGGGGGCGGCAGGTGGACGTTCGCAAAATGACCGGGCCAATTGGTGGACTGTTTGGCCGATGGTCTTCTACCTGAGCAAAGGCCCGCAGCGCGCGCCTCGCCTCTGGCGAGCTTTTCTCCCCGCGTCCCGACCTCGCTCCCCAGGTGGCCCCCGTGCGTGGTCCGCAGTGGGGGCAACGGCAGGGCGGAGAGTCCCAGGTGTGACCCGGCCACTCCCAGACCCCCTCAGCCGAGGACTGGCGGTCGGGTGATCGTGGAGTAGCGCTTATCGGAGCATTTTGTTTTTCTGGGGAGCGCTTTGTTATTATGGTAGTAATCATAATGAAGAGTGGGCGTCTGTGCCGCCCTTATTGGGAGCCCGGAGCTGCGCCGGCGCTTTCCATCCTACCTCATTTAGTCCCCGCGGCCCGGGGCCGGCTTCGCTCCTTCCTCCTACCTCCTACCTCCGTTTTACCGAGGAAGATGTGGAGCTCAGGGAGGCCTGGTCCTCTGCCCGAATTTGCAGTGCTGGAGAGTGGCCTAGCCTGTCTCTCAGACTTGCAAAGCCTGCTCGACCACCTTCTTTTTTTTTTTTTTAAGGTTTTATTTATCTTTATAGAGGGGAAGGGAAGGAGAGAGGGAGAGAAATACAAATGTATGGTTGCCTCTCATGTGTCCCCTGCTGGGAACTGGCCTGCAACCCAGGCATGTGTCCCTGACTGGGAATCAAACCAGGATCCTTTGGTTCGCAGGCCTGCGCTCAATCCACTGAGCTACACCAGCCACTGCTGGCCACTCTTGGCCTGGCGGGGTTCGCTCAGTGGGTCGGGTGTCATCCCTGTACCAAAGGGTTGAGGGTTCAAGAGTTTGATTCTTTTTTAAATTTTTAATTTTTTAAAGCGTAGTTTATTGATTATGTTCTTACAGTTTTCCGCCGTTATCCCCGCGCCCCCCCCCCCCCATCATCGCCCTGCTCTTGAGGGTTTGATTCTTGATCGGGTCACGTGCCTGGGTTGTGGGTTCTGTCCCAGTTGGGGGCCTATGAGAGGCAGCCCTTGGGTGTTTCTCACATCTATGTTTCTCTCTCTTTCCCTCTCAAAAATCAACGGTATGTCCTTAGGTAAGGATTCAAAAAAATAAATAAATAAGGCCACTCTAGGTCAGGTTCCACCCCTTCCCGCCCCCACCCCAGAGTGCCCTGCTGCTGGCCAGGGCAGGCTCTCTGGCCCTCAGGTGCGGGGCGGGGCAGCCGCCCTGGGGCATGGGCGGTTCCAGCAGTGGAAGCCTGCCTCCAGTCGCCTCTTCAGTCCACTCCTTGCAGGCCTATTCAAGTCCACATCCCTTGGTCTTGCTTGTCATTCAGGACAGGAATGGGCAGGTCTTTCCTTTGTCTGGGTGTTCTGGTGGAGGCAGGGCAGCTGGCTTGCTAAGCCGGGAGAGAAGGTTGAGGAATAGTAACATAATCACCGTTAATGAAAGTGCTCACTATGAGGCTGCTGCTGTGTTAGTACTTTACCAACATCATTTTATTTAATCTTTATTAAAATTTTTTTTAATTTACTGATTTTAGAGAGAGGAAGGGAGAAGAAGAGAAACATCATTTTGTTGTTCCACTTATTATGCATTCATTGTTTGTTTCTTGTATGTGCCCAGACCTGGGATCGAACCTGCAACCTTGGCTATTGGGAGGATGCTTTAATCAACTCCGTTACCTGGTCAGGGCCTCTTATTTAATCTTTAAATGCGCATGAAGTAGATATTGTTATCGTCACCATTTTGTAGATGAGAAAGGTGAAACTCAGCATCAATAAAACTTTTGCCAACATGAAACAACCAGAGATGAGGGGCCACAATTCAAGCCCAGGCCTGTCTGATTTCACAGTGAAGTGTCTGTACTGCCCTTTCGTCACCACACCTAACCCCCAGCCTTGAAGAGGGACAGCATGTGCCAGGTATCTTCTGTTTGTTTCCCAGAGTGTTCTCGAGCCTTCTCTGCCCTGCATGGTCTCTCCTGCCTCCTGGCTTCCCTTGGGTTGGATGAGGGGAGAGAGAGGTCGGGGTACCGTTCTCTTAGCCTTAGCTCCTTCCCTCAGTGGTCGTCACAGGTAGGTTGTGTCCCTCCACTGAAAGTCCCAGCTTCTAGAAGTCCATCCTTGTCTCAGGGTTCTGTGGCTGTTTCTGCCTCTGGCCTCAGAAGACCTCTGAGTGGTAACTGGTCTGCCATGTGCTGTTACTGGCGCTGGAGTTCCTTACTGTGGGTTGTGTTTTCCCTACACCCAGCCCCATGTTGGTGGTCCCTTTATTAAGCTTTCCTCAAATGGCCCAAGTTGAGTGTGCTTTTTGTTTCTTGGCTGATTCAGGGGACTGACTTAGTGTTGCATTCAGTGAGTCTGCTTGGCAGTCAGGGCCATATTCCTGTAGACCTAAGGATAACACCAGCCGTGGGTGGTGGGGGCGGTCATCGGTCACTGTGGCTGGGGGACCTAGGAACCTCCACCAGCTGGGGTTTTTTCAGGGTGGCTGAAAGTCCAAGGCTTTTTTATTTTTAAATTTTATTTTCCAGTAGAGTTTACATTGACTTATTTTGTATTAGTTTCAGGTGTACTGCAGAATGGTGAGACAGTCATATACTTTACAGAGTGGTCCCCTTGGTGTTTCAGGTGCCCAACTGGCACCGTACAGAGTTATTACAATATTATTGACTCTATGTCCTACGCAGTACTCTCCATCCCTGGGGCCATGCTGTGACGACCAACGTGTAGGTCCCAGTCCCTTCACCTTTTTCACCCAGTCCATTCCAGGTTTTTTTTGCAAAGGACACCACTGGCAGATTAGCAACTGGAGGTGGCAGCGCTGTCCAGGTGTCCAGGGATGGGAGGTGACTCCTGGCTTCAGTGCCCCCAGGCCTGTCCTTGCTAGACAGTCACTTAGCAGATTCTCACTGAGTGGCCTTCAGGTGCCACACACGGCTGGGCACTGAGGGTGATGCTGCGCCAGACGGAGAAGCAGGCCTGTCCTCCCGTCTTACAGGGAAGGCAGGCATTAAATGACCGCAAATGATTAAGTCAATTACAAGAGTGGAAAATGCTTCCAGGGGAGTTCTGGGGCACTCCTGGGTGTTGTAATGGGGGGCCCCCTCTGGTCTGAGGGCAAGAGAGGGGCAAAGTTCACCTCACACATGAAGTTCAGGGTGAGAGCTGAAGGATGAGTTGGATTAACCAGAAGAGGGGGCAGAGGGCTCTCCTCGCAGAGAAACTACCCTGGGCAGCTCCGAGGAAGGAGGAGGAGAGCGTGAACCTTCAGGGGCCGGAAGTGCCGGTGGCACCAGCCCAGGGTGTGGGCAGAGGCCGCATCATGAGGGGCCTGGTATCCAGGCTTGAGTGCAGACTCCCACACTGGGCGGGTCAGCTGTGGAACAGGCTTCAGCGGAGGAGTGACACAGTCAGGTCCATCTCTGACTTTCAGTTCCACGTGGGCCGTGAGGACAGCGTCTGGAGGGGGAGACAGAGGGCCCACCTCGGAGACCAGTTAGGTGGCTGCAGCAGTTGTTGGGGTGAGAGATGGCTGTGGCCTGGGCTGAGGGGTGTCAGTGGGGATGGGAGAAGTGGGTGCATCCAGAACGTATTTAGCAGCTGTGGCTGGTGTAGCTGAGTGCATTGAGCATGGGCCTGTGAACCAGAGGATGGAGGTTCGATTCCCAGTCAGGGCACATGCCTGGGTTGCAGGCCAGTTCCCAGCAGGGACCAGTTCCCAGCAGGGGACGCACAGAAGCTACCATACATTGATATTTCTCTCCCTCTCTTCTTCCCTTCTCTTATAAAGATAAATAAATTAAAAAAATTTAAAAGGTAAGGTGATTACTTATTTTAAAAAAAGAATGTATTTAGCAGAGGTATTAATACAACTTTAGTTACGGTGCCCTTCCATCTCTTCGAATTGTAAACATCAGTCAAATCATCATCATCACTAACATCACTGCGGCCATTCATGGAGTCCTATTATGTGCTAGGGACCGTGCACATCTTTTCTCATTTAATATGCCAGTATCCCTGTGAATTTCTGCGTTCCAGTGGTATTTTTGGTGCTCCCACACGTGGCTCCCCTGCCACAGAAGCCCTTCTGAAAAACAAAACCAAACCCTGCTGCTGGTAGAGGCCTTCTGAGGAAAGCTGCACAGCGCGGAGGAGCTGGACTAGGCTGGGGCTCTCTGGCAGAGGGGACGCGGTGCCCCCACCCGTGTTCTCCAGACATCTTCCTTGCTGCCAATAATGCAATACTTTTCGCCTTATGGACAGATCAAGCTGCACGCAGCTTGTTAGGGTCAGAAGCAATCTCTTTTGAAAGTGCATCACTGTGGGAGGGTTCAGTGGCTCTCAAATGGTCAGTCATTTCTGTCTTTATGTGGAGCAATTCAACATTTTCTTTCTCCCAATACCTGAATGAAAACAGTGGTTCCTGAGGCCGTAAGACTTTCTCCCTAATCTGTACTGTCTACGTAAACATCTTCACAGGGAGGGGAAACTACACTGCCGAACTTAAAATGCCAGCTCTCTGCGTCACTCAGACCCCCTCTTGCTTTTCTCTGGGGGACGGCTGTCCATTTTTTCGCTGAGGCTGTTCAGAGAGAACCCGATTCTAATTTGTCCTCTGATTTTTTCTTCTCCCGAGGTTCTCCTAGGACACTGGCATTCTCTGTTCACTCATCGGCCCTGGAATGTTGCTTAGGTTCAGAGAGAGCTGGTCTCTGCACAGCTGGGGCATTTGGGAGTCGGGCTGGCT